TTACGTTTTCATGATAAGCGTTGAGAACGAATCTCTTTATCTCTTTCTCTTTCTCCCTTTCCATTTCTCTCCCCCTCTCTCTTTTGGAACAACAAATTTAATTTTCCTTCTTTTTTGTATGAGAAACGAAAAGTGCAGCAGTAAATTATAATTAGATTTAATTAAAAAGGAACAGAAATGTTCCTAAATTGAAAGAAAGTGAAGAAAAAAGAAAGGCTTTGTAAAAAAAAAAAAAGGATAAAGATAAGGAACAGTGTTCCATTTCTTGAATCCACTTTTATCCTATAATTTAAACTTGTCCAAATTGGTTTCTTTCTTAAACAAAAGATGCATATTCAAACACGATTACCTCCGAAGTATATAGGTATTTGTTTGGAATCATGCTTGATATTCAAGTCATGTCCATTTAGATATGTGACATATATTATGTTGGTTTTTGTTTATTGTTGTTTAAGGTCCCTCTCGAAAAGTTTTTCATTCATATGTAGACGCCACCACTTGCCGGTGGAGAGCTGGAAATTTTGTCCAATACTCGGCAGCGGCGAGGGTTCTTCTTCATTCCATCCTCTACTGCGACACGAGACCTCGGTTACAGGTATTACATTGATATGTATTTTAGCAAACACCAAAAGTGTGTATGAAAAAAAATGATTAGAACACTGGAAGTCATTTATATATTTTCGTGTTGTCATATTTCTAGTTCCGGATACCCATAATATACACTATAATATGTGTGTTTTACTTTTTGTTCGGACACATAGTTTTGTCTTCCCATAGCAAAATAGGTACACTCGTATTCTATCTTTAATATTGAATGGTACCAAACTTTTATCCGCAACTCCTCTAATACCACTGAATAAAATTTAATGACACTCAATTTCACCAGATCCACTAACACAAACATCCCCCCATGACTCGCTTGTCGGATATTTTTTTTTATTTCTACAGCATTTTAAGAGTGTTTTTTCATGTTTTTTTCCCGAGTTTAACGCAAAATTGCATCGTTATCTTCTGCTCCGTGACGATATACAACATCATCGTTTTTGCGCTTGCAATGAGGACTACCCATCTTCTCAAATTGATTTCGTTTAAACGAAACAAAGCAATTACGCTATAATTTGCAAAATGAACTATGCAATTAAGTAATGAATCATTTATTATGATCTGGGTGCAAATTGTTCACCTCGTTCCGAATTTCCTTCATGTTTTGAGGAATACACAACGTAAATAAACCATTGACTGCATCATAAATGCTATTACATAGTACCTTATGTGCTTACCTCTGATAATTTGGATAAATAATTAATCCATTCAGTGATAATTAGAGTAAAACCTTATAATTACACTCTGTTTTTCATACTAAGCAGCAAAAGCTAAAAAGTACATTCGGAACACCTCTGATGAGTATAATAGTTAAGTGCATCTGAAGTTTTCCAGCTATTTGACGTTATGGCGCCAAATCTCATGCATTGAGTGATTGACGTCATACAGGTTGTAAAGGTTTTATATACGAGCTCCCAGCGTCTAACGGTCAGACGCCTACAGTCTCACCCACGGAAAGGTCCACCTGACGGACCAACTTCCCATCAGAAAGGGTTCTGTTTTAGACAGAGAGACAAACAAGTTGACATGATGGGTAATTATTAACCTGAATTTGTTAGCAACGTTTAATTGCTTTATTCATTCATTTTACTCAGACACAAGCAGTGGCCTGAACTCATCGTTATTGTTTGCTGTTGAATACTATTTACTAAGGCACAAGAAGTGACCTGAACTTGATATTTATAACTCCTGACATTATTACTAACAAATGTATGGTGCATTGTATTGAGTTTTGTTGAGATGTAAGCATAACTTTTTGTCCCTATACAATTAGTTGTTTGCTTCAACCTTTGAATGTTAACAAATGCTAGACGCATTGTATTGAGATATTAGCATAACTTTTTGTCCCTATACAATTACTTGTTTGCTATAACCTGACACTTTGTATTTATACTCACTAAGTGATGAAATCACTAGTTGGAACTTTGTTCAAGACCTAAAGGTATTAGGTCTATTTACATCTATAGAAGGGTTTGTTTTAAGGGTGTATTTTTTTTCAATTAACATTTGTTGAAAAGGGTGGTTGGTTTGTTTTTATTTCAGGTGAGGGCCGCAGAGCCAGAGAAGTGTATTTTTGTACATTTATTTGAATAAAATCCAATAAAATATTAAAAATCTTGTTGTCTTTCGTTCAACGTTCAGATTAAGGAGCCCCACAATTTTACGCCGCTAAGCATAGATAGCCGTAAGTCGTAACACAGTACTGTATTTATTATCCTTCGTGTAAGCTACATTTAATTCAACGTAAAAGCTTCTGGTCAATTTGAAAGTGATTTTTCGATTTTCGCTTGTGACGTTGCGCCTCCTCGGTGTTCACAATCATGACGTCAAATTAAAACGCATGTTTTACCTCTTGGCACCCTGTCTGTGTTATGGTGTTTTGAATGCAATGGATTTCCATTCTTTTTATATGCAAAAAATATATGTAATGTAAATATCTTAATTTAAATGTCTAGTTTGTTTTTAGGTTTTTTTCTCCATTTTACAGAGAATATGACTAAACATTTTCAGTGTATTGCCTGTAAATAACTTAATTTTGACCTGCCCCCGATCCGATTTTTGCAGAATTTAATTCAGGATAAGTTCGAAATAGATAAAACATTTTTTTTTAAATCTTTAATACAAATCGTTTGAATTAATCGTTAGAATCTACCAACATATTTCTACCAAATTTGCATAACATTTGACGTTAAATATAAAAAGATATGACAGATGACAGAAGTCCTCGAACTTTCCGAACAATCCTCGTTGCAAGGTCTGGCGATCGATCAGTCTTTATGTCTGATCATCATCACAGATTTCGTCCCCTTTTCAACTACATTGGATTGGTTATAGTTAGGCCACAGTCTGATTGGGTGTGTGGATGCGTGCGTAATTGGAGTTATGCAGGTTAAACTTCATATCTGGATTATGTGCTCTTATGCGAAGGGATACTCCGGTTTGTGGTGTCCGTATTTTGTAAATCGTGTTTTTAACTCTTCTCCTGTCCAGTGACACCAAATTGAATCGGAAAATTAACATATGCATCTCACACTTGAGACTGCGTGTACTTTCAGTTTTTATTTGGAAAGTGACACCAGTTGTACCAGTAGGCTCCATGCCATGCTGTAGAATGGTCAAACATGTAACTATTTCCTTTCATTGCCCCGATCTTCAGGGTTGATTCTCATTCCATTATGTGTTCAACTGATGAAATCGTTTTTAAATCAGTTCGAAATATTGAATGAAAAGAAAATGAAAGCTAATAAATTCCATTACAAGTTAAAAGAAAAATTCATACTGTGAAATAAGAAAATGACACTGTAACTATTTGTTTGACAAAAAAAACAACATATAAATGTAGGGAATGTGTCAGTTCTGATAAACGTTAGTTTTTGGGTCTGATCATCATGACAGTCTTCTTTAGCGCTTCAAAAGTATTTTTCCAGTAATACCATACCATGTACTGCTTCCCGTAGACGGCTGACTGGGCGTACTCTCCGTTCAGGTTCGATGCGTAACATTCGTTGTACCACCAGGCCCCGTGATACTGTATAGCACAGTTAGAACTTCTCATATCATTATCCTGGTCTTTGGTTGTAAATTTCATTCCATTGTGATACGTCATACTGTCACCTGAAACAGAGTATTGCTTATGATAAGGTTTACTACTAAATAATAAACTAGTAGTTGTAACAGAGTAGCAACAACTGATATGTCTTAGCCCAGATCTTAAGTGGTAAATGTTATGTATCGGTTTAATCTTCACTCATTATTTGACAGACTTCACTTCAAATAATACAACACTTAAGCTGTAAGCCAGGCTAGCTTAGTGGGAGCAGCTGGCATTTATTTTATAACAATTTTATAAGAAACAGGCATACATTATAAATGTGTGTGTGATCAATGAAATACTGCAATGTTTCAGTTTACTATACGTTATATGCTATGTATTGTACCCCTATCAAAGACATGAAGAACCGCCCAGGAAAAAACCATAAATAGGTAATTATGGAGAACCTGTGTCGGTCGCTTTGTAAATAATGCCTTAAAGGAGAATGTCGGATAGGCATTCGGAGCAGTACTTGGTATGCATAAACAATGCACCATTTATGTACATGTACAATAAAGCAAAATCAAAATATATGACAATATTGTTGTTAAATATTTCATACATATATAAAAATATTCATTTGAATATAGATATAAACAAAAAAATACGAGTGTTCTGCGAAGCACTGGCTTTCAATGATCCAACACCTCACAAAATACCGACTTCTCATTGGCCTTCCTTTTGCCCACGCCTACTATAAACAGGCATTTCCAATAAAATACGTTCCTATCATACAATGTTTTCCCGCTATTCTACGAAACGCAGGAAAACTCTATTATAAGTCGCTCTGTTAGCTGTTACAGGATATTGATAATATCTAAATAATGTTTTATCATCAAACAAAAAACATGAATTATCTGTGAATCGTGTATACGTTATTTTTACTACTCTACAATATCCAATAAACCACGTGTTTGTATTTTGGACACGTTTCTTGGCTATTACATGTGTAACGTCTCCGTATTGGCATTAACGACAGGAAAAAGTACCGTACTTCTTATGAATGGTGACTAAGAGACGTTCCTATTCCTGACAATTTTTTAACTTACAGAAAGTTAAAACTGTTATACGCTTCAAGGACAAAAGATATGTCTTTCAATTACTGACACAGAATTTGGCATTGGGTATTTAGTGAGGAGGATAACGGGGTTATAACATTGAGTAATTTGAGTAAAAAAAAAAATACGTATTAGATTGAGTGATAAGATTCATCAGCACGTAAGTTCTCGTAAATATAAACTTAAAGGACAGACAGATTTTACAGACAAATTTTGATTCTGTACATGAAAAAGATTTAATATCATGTAAATATTTGAAATAAAAGATTGGTTCTTTGAAGATATTTTTATACATATATTTTATTCATAATGAATATAATATAAAAAAACATATGTGTGTTATTATTAATATTTCAAACAGAAAAAACAAAATAGACAAATCAAATTCAGTAAAGGCCTTACTTTTGAAAATAAATTTCATAAACAGGCATTTCCAATAAAATACGTTCCTATCATACAATGTTTTCCCGCTATTCTACGAAATGCTGGAAAATTCTTTTAAAAGTCATCCTTTTAGCTGTTACAATATTATAATATCTAAAAATGTTTTATCAACAAACTGAAAAAAATAATATATCTGTCAATTACTATTGTTCTATATATAATGTGTAATTTTTTGTCATTTTGGCTATTTACATCTCTGTATTGGCATTAATGACAGAAATGATTACCTTACTTCTTATAAATACACACACACACAGAATGATATTTTTTCTTAAGAACAAATTGTATAATTAACGGACTATAAACATGTCTTTACATTGTTGATATAGAATTATCACATTGGATATTTAGTGAAGGAAGACCTAATTATTCTCTGAGATTTAACACGTAAAAAAAATGAGGAGGGAGCAATTAGATTGATATTTTTTATTTGCATTTCGGGGGGAAAGTGAAATGAATTTTGAGGTTATTTTTGATTTCTTTAAAAACCCTATGACATACACAACTTTACAATTATCATGAACAATAATGTTGTATCTACTTATCATTGGAATTATGTACCTTGTGTGCAGTGTTATCGTAATTTTATTGTAAATAAAACATCATAATTAAAAAGATCTGCCACAAGGTTTAGTACCTAGGGACATTTGGCAAGTAATGAAAATGTAGGTAAATTAAAATCCACATGTGATTTTTGTGATTTGTCCTGGCATAAGATACCTGTATGCATTGTCTGAGATCACCCACCTTAAAATGACTTAGGCTGGGAGAAAATCTGTTATTGACTTGTGTCTCATGCGTTCAGGAATTTGGTATATAGGCTTATGCGCCCTGGGGCTTGAGAGGCATTTAAGATGACTTTTAAAATAACAGGTACGTGAAAGTGTTGAGAAATTTCTAATATAAATTCGTGAAAAAAGAACTAATATAAATTCGTAAAAATACCTGCTATTCTGTAAAATTCCATACATATAACTGTTTACATGTTCTGCACTATATTACTTAACATCTTTCATTCATTTTATTTATCAAATTACTTAATCACACAACTCACTCGCGTTTCCGTTGTATCCAGATACTGTCAGTATATATTTATTGTCTTCATCTCCGATGCAAAATGTGGCATACTCAGCATAGACCTGTCCTCCGTAAAAACTCTGGAGATTAATTCGGAGTTTTTGGTTCCGATCCTTCGTTAAAGAGTGGATTGCGTCATTCCCTATGTATAATATGAACCTTTTTATTAAGTTTGAGATTTAAAAAAAAACATTGATAAACTAAAAAGAAAACCTATGTGTTTGTGAAACACTGATGTACCCGTATGGCAACATAGCGAAGGTAAAATATTCTCAAATGCAAATCCAACATTGTGATACCCAGAGTAAAGCCTTCTCACAAGAAATACAAATGTAAAATATAAAACCCTAAAACCCTAGCACCACCTGTTCAAAAGTTATGGCCGAAGTCAATAATTCTTAAAGGTCAGTCATACTCCGGGGTCAAAGTCAAATGGTCGAGATCGTTGGTTTTTAAAGGAAGGCCCAGTCACAAAGATTACATATGGGAAGTATGAAAGTCCTAGCCCTAACCATTCAAACGTGTTTGCAAAGGTACATTTTTTTTAAATAGGTCGCACTCCAAGGTCAAGGTCAAAGGCTCCAAGTTATTGCTGTCCAATGAAAGGTTTCCGTTCAAATGCTATGACCAAAGTTATAGTTTTTAAAAGTAGGTCAATCTCCAAGGTCAAGGTAAAATGTAAAAGAAAAGTTGTTGGTATCTCATTGAAGGTCTTGTTATAAAAATACATATTTTAAGTATGAAAGTCCTAGCAACAAATGTTTTTAAGTTATGGCCAAAGTATAAGTTTTGGCTTTTTGTGTTAAAAGTGTGTCAAACTCCAAGGTCAAGAGGTCAAATTTCGTGGTACCCAAATAAAGATCTTGTCACAGGGAATATACCTTTGAAATATGATAGCCATAGTCCACCCAATTAAAAGTTATGGGCAAGGTTAAAGTTTTTGCGGACAAAAAGACAAACGGTCAGACAAATAGATGGACGGACAGGGCAAATACTACATAGCGCATCGTTGTCTGCGCCAAAGCCACTAAAAATATAAAGCCCACTTTTTTTAAGTACACATACAATATCCCCGAAAGTTCGTTTACAGGGGTAAAAGGAATGATTATTCCTGTAACTAAAAGAATAAAAGTTAATTATATATGACATCGCTATTATGACATCAAAAACGCAGCATCTTACATTTGGAGAGGTATATGTCAAGAGGGCTCTAATTGTATTAAAAAATGAATATCAATCGACAAAAATATTCCATTTATTTCAATGATTTTTTTCCACTCTTGACCCTGGTTGTATAAAAGATTTAATGTGCAGTAAACTTTAGATATCCACTCTCACAACAGAATTCAGATTAAAAAGGAATTTAAGCTTAATATGCATATTACTGAACAACTGATATAATGAACATCGCCTTTTTGCATAAATCAAATATCGCATTTTGAAAAATAAAAATCTTAAAAGTATTATATTTTCTCATGTCCATCAAGGTAAGAAGTATCATGTTATTTCATAATATTGGAACCAGCGATGTAAGTTTGCGATATTGACTAAGATTATTAATTTTATGTTAACTTTTCAGTAGATCTGCAAAGTTTGACAAAGCATGTTGAATAAAAATGTGGGAAATGTGTTCTAAAAATATTATTTGAAACTACAATGAATATTTTTTAGCATGTAATAAAGTGAGAATTTCTGAAATGAACCATACGGAGATAACGAATAGTATTCAAGATCAAAAGTCCATAAAATAATACAAAATAGGAGCAGAGAAAACACGGACCTCCAAAATATCGATCATAGGTGGGATCAGGTGCAATGGAGGAATAAGTATCCCCTGCCAACCGGTCATACCCGCCGTGTGCTCAATGACATGATCGGAAAATAACGGAAGAATCCGTTATCAATTCAATGTTTAAATAACGGACTAACAATTAGTCTGAAAAACGACGGTAAGCATTTGACGCGATGATATATTGATAGTAAAAGTTATTTTGATCAATTTCCAACATATATAATTAATCAAATCTGTTGAATATTGATAATTTTCTTCTTAATACGATTTCACCTCAAGAAAAGGCTATTTATAAATGATGTATTTTTTAGATCTTGATTGCAGAATTTTGTTCCATGCATCTTATTTTCTATGTTTACATTATTTCCTTGCAGGAAAAGAAAAAGGTATGGAAATGATCCCTATAAATGATATTTTTTTTTTTCGAAATTGATAGCATAAATTTGTTCCATTTTCTTTTCTATGTTTACATTTTTTCAATACAAGAAAAATTGGAAAGGAAAAGTCATGGTTATAGTCCCTATTTGACATCTTCCCTAACAAAAAAAACTATAGTCAACTATAGTTTACTATTAGTTAACTATACTAAATCAAAGTGTCAACGTTTTCACCAAAATTTTTCAAAGTGTCAAAGTTTTTGATAAAGTTTTTC